TGTCTAGCCAGGCACAGATTTCTTTTCGTTTGGGACTATTTTATCGCACAAAAACAAGCTTGGAACTGGTGAAGGTGGTTAGGGAACACTTTTTGTAGGCATTTTGATTTTGTGAATGTTCTGCCTGTTTCTTAAAAGGTTGATTTCTCATTTTTGGATTATATTTTTGAGTTCGTTTGTTTTTTTTTTTTTTGAAGTTATTGGGATTACATTGGTTAATAACATTATATAAGTTTAAGGTGTACTTTATGATACAATATCTGTATATTCCATTGAGTGTTTTTCAGTCTTATAATCAGCTGGCTGCCTTTCTAACTCACTATTCATTAACACCTCCACCAGGGGGCAGGAAATCATATTTGAATCCTTGCCAGCTACTCTGATTAAAAAGTGTAGTGAGAAACAATGGAATGTGAGCTGGATTTGGATTTCAGTATTTAAACTCTTTATTCGTTATTATAAAAGAGTAAGTTCTCTGTAAAATGAACCCAAACTTTTTAAAACCATAAGCACTGTAGTTAAATAACACATTAAGCTGATAGTCTCTTTAAAATAAAAGAACATTTCTCTTGAACATTTTTCTTCTTCTAAAAATGCGACATGAGAAAAAGTTATCTCTCATACTGATTACCTGTGAATTTTACCCCAAAAGATACTTTGACAGGTCAAGTTACATATCTGAAACATTTTCCTAATATATAAATACTAAGCTTTAGTTGCTATGTTCCCTACAAAGGCAAAAAGTACTTTTAAAAATATTTGTTAGCATACGGTTTATTATCAGGCTTTAAGACAAACATATGCATGTAATAATAAATAAGACTTACTTGAATATCAACTTCAGATTGTGTACTGGAATTCTGCAAGTAGAAATCTCTGGGAAAGAGATGCAGTCAATAGAACTTCAAGCTGATTAAAAATCTTATCAACCCTTCCTAAAAGGGAAAAAATGCAAGTGTAATTTGTTTTCTTTTATATCAGCAAAGATTTATTTTATCAATTGTGTGGCAAGTCATTTTACAGGTCTTGGTATAGGTAACGGTAGTAGCGTAACCAAAAATTAAAGCGACAATATTTTGTCATCTCATTGCATAGCACATTACCAAAAAAAATGTTTTTCTTCTCAGCTGTCTAATAACTATTTAAAAGATTACCGCAAGAGGCCCCTTGATTGAGAGATTGCAATGTTAACAAGGCATCCTCTGTGTGCTAATAGCAGAGGTTGGTGGATCCCATTTCTGATAGTAAAGCATTAGAAGGCAGGGTTGGGGTTGCAAACAGCCTCTCCAGCTAACTATAGCCCATGACAACGGGATGACCACATTGATCTCCCAGTGGGCCTCTGCCATGCTCCCAGCCCACCCATTTGGGAATATAATGATTTCCAAATATGTTTAAGCATTGTTTAAGGGTTAAACTTTAATTTTTTAAATAGATTCTAGAGTTCAGATTTCAATTTGAATAAAAATTTCACTTAGAGTCTGGTACCAGTTCTAGCTCTTATGGAAAAATTGTATTGAACCAAAGGATAAAAGAGGGAAAAGGTAAACCATTTAATGGTTTAACGGTCTATTCAGTTGTAGAAATGACACATCAGCTAGTGATATATACATATAACGAATATATGTTGCAATTCACTTCAGGTTTTGTTTGCTTTTCTTTAGTTATCGAATTGTTAATTATAAGTTAAAACCATATTTGTGGCACTTTATAAGTGCACAGGGCATGGGAAAATAGGCATTTTTGAAGGTTATAAAAGAATACAAAAGAGAGCCATTTCTTTAATAACTTGGCCAGTGGAGATGAGATTACATCCGAGGTCTCTCTCTCTCTCATGGTATAATATTTTCATAAGAGCTAAATTTTTTAGAAGCTGAAGAATTGAGGGGCATTCCTCTCACAGGGCCCATGGCATACTGAACATTTAATACATTCATGGCCGACCGACTGATCAAACCATTTATGTGCCCCCATGTCCGAGTCCAGCCGAGGTTGGTGGCCACTCTGTTAGTGACACTTGAGTTGCTGATTTTATTTCCTGGTTGTTGAATGAAAAGCATGAGCCCTATCGAATAAAAAAGGATTTTTTTTTAACATGCTTAAAGGATACTTTTATGCCAGGGCAGCAATGAATTGTATCACCAGGGCTCCTATTTGTTAAATACACCCCCAGTTTGAATCTTACTTAAGGGGAAGCTTTGCACACATATAGACTAAGAAAAGGAACTTTTAAAGATTGTTTGTTAAATGCATACATAAATCTCAGCAATGGGTACGAAGGAAGGGAAGAGACTAGCGCATCCACAAGAGAGAGTGCCCGTGGGACACGCGAGGTGAGAGGGCGATGCGCTGTGGCGTCTGTGCGGTACCGAGCCCCTCCCTCACTGATGACACTTGTGTTCCTGTCCTCAGCGCATGGACATGGACCGGCGGAGGGAGGACGCCCGGAACCCAAAGCGCAAGCCGCGCCTCATGGAGGAAGATGAGCTGCCCTCCTGGATTATTAAAGACGACGCCGAGGTGGAGAGGCTGACGTGTGAGGAAGAGGAGGAGAAGATATTCGGCAGGGGGTCTCGCCAGCGCCGGGACGTGGACTACAGCGACGCCCTGACGGAGAAGCAGTGGCTGCGGGTAGGTGTGGCTCTCTTCACTGTCCTCCGCTGGTGGCTGGCGGCGCTTCTTGTTGGCTCGCGGCAGTCAGGGGCCTAACGCTGGCCTTCTTGGAGGGGCCCGAGTCGCCAGCAAAAGGGGAGATGGCTGCTGACCATGGATAAAGTCATTCTGCTGTCGCCATGGAATCGTTCTTCGTTCCTTGAAATATAGTGAAGAGTTTTTTGTGTGTGTTTTTTGCTAGAGCAGAGCTGGCCATTGGATTATTAGAGCTCTGAGACCCACTAAAGTTTTACGACCCATTGCCTGGTCATGCCTCACTCTCTCCGAGTCAGAATCAAAATGTGGGAAGGGGGCCTCCGGGATCTTTTTCATCGGTCCCCCTCCTTTCATGGTCTTGAATCGGAGCTTTACTTCTCCAAGGCCTGCAGAGACGGTTCCGGGGTCAGGCCTCTTCCAGCTGCATCCTTACTTCATTAGAGCCAGAAGCTGCCTTTGTATTCTCTTGGTGTTACAGACAAAGCAGTTGAGGCCCAGAGAGGTTAAGCGATTGTGCGGGATCGCACAGCTGGCCAGAAATAACCGGATCAGTGAGTGCTGTTGCGTCTGCGCACTCTAAGTTTGATCTGCTCTGTCCATCGCAAACACAGACTGGGGCCTGGCACTTGGTCACTTAGGCTTAGAAGGGTTGTTCTTTAGTTTAGGGTAATTTCTTATTCCGACTGAGGAATGAAGTCTCAGAAGGTTCGTTGGGGTGCACGAAAATATAAGAAAGCGCCTCGGAGCCAGGTGTGTGTGTGTGTGCCAAGGCCCGTGTGAGTCTTCCTTGGGAAGGTCGGGCCCTCCTTCCCCTTGGTGGGAGCAGACTGAGTACCGACAGACACAGTCTGGGGCACGCATTCCAGGCAGGGCCAGTAAGTGCTCGCTGGAAATAGTAACGCAGTTGGGTAAAAACCAAACAAAATAGAGGTGGTTGTTGTGAGCTGTTCATTTTATCAAAAGGGAATGCAATTTCCAGGGTTTGTAGAACAGATTTTAGGACCCAGGTCATAAGTAGGTATAGGTGGGTTGAAAAAGGCCACGGGAAGTATTTTGAGATTGGATGTCAACAGCAGGCAGGTCTTGGGACCACTTGAGATGTGCTTTACTTGAGGAGTTGTATGATGAGAGAGACGTGATCTAAATTTCAAAAAGATTGAAGTCTGTGGTATTCAGAAAAGAGAGACTAAGAAAGCATTGCTCGTGTTTATGATTGAACAGTGGCTATGAAATGTAACTTTCGTGTGATTATTTTATGGTCGTATCCAAACATTCAGGTGGCCTCAGAATACGGCTTTATGGATTTCTTTTGTTTCACTATTGTGAGGTTATCAGCTGTATAACTAAGATGTGTTCTATAATGTGAAGAGATTTGTGTTTAATAATCATTTCTGAGTTCAGGAAAATCGATTCCCTTTCTTTTTTATTTAAGCAATGAATTAAGTACCTGGAGTATTATTACAGGAGATGAGATATTAATCTCGGCCGGCATTTTAAAGTCAGTCTTTGTATATGTATTACAGAGAAAATAACCTTGTTTATTGGGTACGAATGTAGCTGAACTTTTTATTTTTTAAGTAATCACTGGGAAATAAATGCTCTTAAGAAAAATAACTATGGATCTCAGATAATGTATAGGTTTAGAATATCTCATTTTTTTCTCTTTTTCATTCAGTTTCTATCACAAATGATTAGCACAGTATTTAGCCCCTAGTAGAGACTCAATGAATGTGAAATGAAATTAAAACCTTGTAAGAGGAGCCAAAACCGGTTTGGCTCAGTGGATAGAGCGTCGGCCTGCGGACTGAAAGGTCCCAGGTTCGATTCCGGTCAAGGGCATGTACCTGGGTTGCGGGCACATCCTCAGTAGGAGATGTGCAGGAGGCAGCTGATCGATGTCTCTCTCTCATCGATGTTTCTAAGAGGAAAGTGAAAAGTTATTAATTTACCAGTGATGTTAGTTTGTCTTTCTCTTTCTGGTGTATCTAGTGGACTTCCTTTTATCGGTAACATATACATCTAAAAATGGAAACTAGTTTGTTTTACAAAACTACACTGTGAAATTGATGTTCATAATTTTCAACCTAAGGTGCATTGTCAGATACCAAGTCACCCAAGGTCAAAACTGTTCTTAGTACAGCTCTATTGTAATAATTTCTTTTGGAATCCAGGCTTTCTCGAACCGGATGTCCATTTTTGGTATGAGCTGATAACTTGCTGTTAACCAGGAACCAATGCAGAATGTCCTGTGGCCCTCAGCATTTGAAACAGACGCTTACAGTTGTTTGTTTTCTTCTTCACCAGCAGCAATCTTGCATAGTACCAGCCTGTTAAGCTTCTCTGATCATAAAGTGATATTCAAGGGCTTCTCACGGGCCTGCATGTGAAGAGATATTCTCGATTGGCTTAAGATTGAGCACGTTGAGCGAAACCCAGCCAACACAGCCTTGAAAGGGAATTTGGCAAGGACCATCGTGTAAGAAATGCTGTAGCAGGGCTACAATAATTCCTCTTTTTCCTGGCAGTGTTATACAAAGCCTGCTTGGCAGAGGCATCAAACATACATAGACTCCCAGAGTTGGAAGGCAACTGAATGGAGCAGCTACCCATCCTGTGCTTAAATCACATTGTCTGCAGAGCCCAAGCCAAGAGGCTGGCGGTCCCTACAGGAAACACTCCCCTTCTTGTCTGCGGAGCCCCTCCAGACCTTCTTCCCTTTGAATGGAATCCTCTTT